GAGCGGCCATCTGCTGAGGCCCACTGGGGTTCAAGGAGACAGAAGCAGACATAGAAAAAGAAGCATAGATGCAAAAGGCAACCAGCTCCACAGGCGGCCCCGTCCAGGAAACACACAGCCAGGCAGACGAAGAAGAAGATGAAAGTTCACAAGATAGATTCACTCTAAATGAAAAAATAAAGGTCAGGTCCTTCCTCTATTGAAGGTTTTCAGCTGGACAGATAACAGCACAGACATGCTTATATTTATCATTGTGTCGCAGCTTCTTTCACTCAGCAATGGGAAGTGGAATCGTCCTTCCCAGAGGCCGCCAGCGGGTCACTAACCTTTGAAGCAGTTTTCCAGGGAATTCTCATCAGGAAGATTGAAATCTGTGTGGAATCATCTGCACTGTTTAAAAACAAATGGGAAACGGAGCTCATTAATCTTTGCAAGCGAGGCCTTTAAATTCATCGTTCATAAGAGCTGATTTTAGTCTTTTTATTGTCATTAGAGCAGAAACAGCCACAGCTTTAGTTTGAAATGCGTCAGGATGAGATCCCATCAACTTGAATGTTTTTGCCTTCACTGAACGCTGGAAATCACTGACGAAAGCCTGGAAAAGAAGCGTTATGGATTGGTTTTATATTCCTGCTGTCGAATACCTTGATGTGAGATTAAACAAAGTTGCAAAAAGAGAGTTAAAGTCGTAACGCTTTGTTGTATTTGTGCATCAATAGCCATGTTATAACATGGTACTAACATAGCTTTATATTACTAGGTAACCAGAGACACTTTAAGGAGAATATTGGTACTACTGTGCTTTAAAATTTATGCAAACCAGGTCAGACTTCTTAGATATCACACATTTATTAACGGGTAACTCAGTCATTTCACTGACAGCAATAAATTAATGTGTTATTTTCTAGGAAAATGCAGTTTTTTAGTCGGCATATAACAGAAAACCAAACCTTATCTTCAACCCAATCTTCTTAACTAAACTTTTATTTATATTTAACTTCAGTTTAGTTTCATAATGTTTCATTTACCTGAACATAAGTTGTAATTTACTCTGTAAAATCGGGCATAAACTGTACGATATTTTCAATCATTTTACGCAGCTGCAGCTCAAACTGTACAATGAAACCTCAGAGTTTAAAAGTTCTCA